ATTAAAAGACAAAAAAAAAACTTATATTTACAGCACGGCATTGATAAACGAAATATTGACAATTTATATCAGTTTTTCAATAAATTACTCTTTTATGCATGTGCCACTGATATCATCGACAACAAATTTTATATTAATTAGATATATTTAACTATTTTTTAATAACATAGAATTTAAAACCATTAAATAAATAGTATAAAAATATAGTTTTTTTTGGGTAAGGTTGTATATATCAAATCAACTTTGGTTTAATAAAATATAAATCGTACCAAAAAGTATATATATAACCAATATAAAAACTTATATAAGTTTATCTTAAATATAACTAAATCTTAACTATTTTTTATATTTGTTCTTACTTAAATAAAATTATCATGTCTTTATAAAACTTAGTTACAAAGAGAAAAATGATTCCTTTCCCTAGGTCCTAAATATTTTTTTTATATTTAAATGGTCCCTATTATTTAAATTAACTTCAAATATAAAATTTTGTAAAAAAATAAAAATTAATGTACCATATTTAACATTTTTCAAAAGTTCAATGGGGGCAGCTGGTTCTAGCCTTAGCCATGCCTTATAAAATCCCCCACCCCTATACCCTGTAATTACTGAAGTTCAAAAAAGATTGTTCAACATGATATTATTTTTAATTTTATATTGTATAATAAAAGGCAAGTTCTCCCATCTCTCAGTCCATTCTACTCGTATGAATTTAAATTCAAAATCTTTTAATTTTAATAAAAAAAGATTGATAGTAAGTTATTTAGATTTTTGATAAATTTATTGTAACATTAATAATGTATCAATCTATTACATTAAGTTCACATTTTCAATCAAATTAAAGATTAAGGAGATTTTGTAATTCACACATGACCATTCCGATTAATTGGTAAAAAGGTGGTAAATATCTTTTGGGTACTTTTTGATATGGATTTAAAATTAACAATTAGTGATTTAAAACTAATGGTTAGTAATTTTATATAATTTAATAATTAAAAATAATTATTTATTAGATTAAATAAAACTGCTGCATGCTAGTCCCTATGTTCCTAATTATTAATCATTTTAGTTGTGTGAATTTGTTTCTATTTATTTGAGGTTTAAAAAGTTCTACAGCGCATTAATTTATTTTCTTCCAATTTTACCCTCCCACCCCATAATAAATATGCTACAAAAATTAAAACTCA